AAAAAAAAAAAAAAGATTTCATCATGGTTAGAGAGTTAAAGAAAAGGCAAAGTCAAAATTAGAATTCAGGTAGGTCTTGTTCCACCATGGTTCTTTGTTCCTTACCATCTCATTCAAACTTTGTCTCTATTTACAAAGATATCTCCAACATCTGTGATGAGTAATAACAAACAAATTAAGACCGTAACTTGGGCAGCTCTTGTTCATGTCAAAGCATAATCTAAATTTAAATATTACTGGAAAGCAGAAGATAAACTATAAACACAGATTTGCCTTCTTACCTCACCTATCAGATAGTGAGGATGGTGCCAGATAGGGCAGATACTGACTTGTTCACAGGGTTGCTATGATCGCCATCAATTCAGTAATACCTACCTAACAACAACTCGGATATTAAATATATAGGGACAGAGAGAACAATCTTCCAAATAGAAATGAGTGTATTTCAAAGATAGAAGCAGGTGGTGAGTGACAATACACACATATATTAACAGCAACAGTAGATTAGTGTTTTATGTGCAAATCTGACAGACAAAGCTGCTAAGTGGTTAATACTGTTTCCTGTCTTTCAATTATTCAGTAAGCTAGAAAAACCTGTTGAGAAGAACTTGCTATAGAGTCGAGTATGACTCATAGTGACCTTAAACAAGAGACCTTAATCCAGTCTTATTCTACCTCATCAATATTGACACACTTGAGCCCATTATTGCAATCACTGTGTAATCCATCTCATTGAAGGTCTTCCTCTCTTTGGCTATTCTCACCTTTCCTAGTATGTTATCCTTTTCTAGGAACAGTCACTCCTAGCAACCTGCCAAAAGTATGTGAAACAAAGCTTCATCATCTTTGCCTTCAAGGAGCACTGTGGCTGCATCTTCTCCAAGACATATTTGGGTTTTGGGTAGTCCATACTCTGGTGGCCTAGTGGCAAGAAGCTGTGCTGCAATTCCAAATGCACACAATTTAAGGCCACCAGCCACTCCTTGGGAGAAAGATGGGCAATCCCCTCCCGTATGATTAACTGTCTCTGAAAATCTGCCAAAGGGTTAGCTATGTGTCGATTCCCACTCACTGGTCAGCGGTACACAACAACAACAACAAATATTTGGTACTCTAATATTACAGCTCAAAGACATCAATTCTTCCGTCAACCTTATTCACTGTCCAGCTCTCAGATGCGTAGCAAGTGATTGAGAAGACTATGTCCTGAATCAGGCGCACCATTAAGTCTTCAAACGGACAACATTGTTCTTCAATCAGTATTTTTGGATAGGTTTCTGCCTTTCTAAAAAATTTCAATGGACAGCTTGAGAAGACAAAACAAAATATTATAATGAAATGTGCTAAGAGCTATAGTCCAAGAATAAAAAGGGAATAACTCGTTCAGTATTTCTCAAGATCAAGATTCTGCTGAAGACTGAATGTCTCCTTTAGTTCTGTTACCCACCTTATAGGTCTGTCTACTGTTTGGCTAAAAGTTAAACCACAGGGATAAGTTTCATTCCACACTTGAAGAATGATATAGCCCTCATTTTTTATATATAAAATTATTTACTGACCTACTTTCTACATAAAAATTTGGTCTTGATTTTAAAATGTAGTTTGTTTTTCTTTTTAAGAAATTTTTTATAAATTTAACAACAGACTATCCCAATGCAATGTCTCCTGATCTAACTGCTGGTATCAAGGATTGTGGATCCAAGCAAGAAAAAATTATTGACAACTTCAATCCTTTCTCCATCTATCACACTACTTGGCCCAGTGATCAAGACCTTTGTTTTCTTGATGTTGAGATGTAAGCCATATAGAAGGCTACAGTCTTTGATTTTACACAGCCAACATTTCAAGTCCTCCTCACTTTCAGTAAATAAGGTTGTGTCATCTGCATAATGCAGGTTGTTGATGCCTCTTCCTGGGTTTTTTCCTCTCAAAAAAAAAAAGTTCACCTTAAGAACAGGTTTGTGGGGGCGGGGGGAGAGGGCTGGGCGGGGAGAGAAGTGCAGCAATGAATGAATGGAAATCCAAATTCTCTGTAAATGTTCATTAAAATTATTAAAAAAAATTAAAT